CTTCATCCTAGGCCTCTGGGATCATGACCTGAGCCGAAGGCAGTCGCTTAACCAACTGAGCCACCCAGGCGCCCTGATTTAGTATTTTAAAGTATGGTGCCATTACAGTCAGCTCTGTGTGGGATAAGAATATCATTGATGTTTTTATAAGATAAAGACAAGAATATGTATGTTTTTCTTATTCACTGATCGTGCCATTATGGTGTCTCTATTTCTGGGTTATTATTTAGTGTAGGATAAAAGCTGAGGTAGAGGATGACCGTGCCTTTCTTTCCTCTTTTCACATGGAAAAAATTTCAGTTAACTAGAACTTTTCAATCTTCTGAGGTGCAGTTCTATGTGAATCAGGACCCTCAACCCGTATCTTTAATGGCAGCTGTCATCAGACCAAAACAGAACATGCTGTTAACATATGCTCTTTTTTCTTTATAGGAGAGCTTCTGTTTTGCTTCCACATCCTACTTTACTCCAGCTAATCTGCTAATGCAGTGAATTGGAAGACAACTGTTACCAGGATAACCTGTAATGGGCAAGGAGCCACAGAGAAGAAAACATTTCTTTTAATTTTTAAACTTGGTTGAAAGGTAAGACCATTAAGAGTATCAGGAGTTTCATCAAGGAAAGCAATGTTCTGTTGTGAGACCCTGGAGTCTAGGTCGACCAGGGCTAGACCAGGTACAGTATGGTTCTGGGGCACTGTGGTATTTTTAGGAAATTAAATAACAGCCTCTGTAGTTTGCTCTGGCATGTTTTGGAATCTGCATCACCCAATCTGTGGGATTCCTCATTTCCTAGGGGGGTTGATCTGGGTCCCAAGGATAGCCAGGCCTAGCAAGCTGAAGGAGCACACAGAGAAAGGCTGCTCATGGAGACTTAGGTGCTGCTTCGAGGTCACCTAAAAGTGCATGTGTGCACAGGCGTGTGAGAGAGATAGAGCTTGAGATTGTTTTGTTTTTGTTTTACACCAGCTAAAGGCCATCTCTGGCTTTTAGCCAACCATCTGACTCCTTTCGAGTCCTAATTGCTATCATTTTAGACCTCTTCACTGAAACTTTCTCTTGAAGACCAGAGGTTGACTTTACATATTTGACAGTTGGTACTTCAGAAAGTGGCCCAATCGGGTCTTTGGGGGACAGGACACATTTTTAATCCATCTTCATCTGCTCCATTGTGTGTTGAGGAGAAGGTGGGCATAAACCACTTAATAATCATCTATGGTTCAGGCTTCATTATCTCAGGAGATACTCTAGTTATGGTGCTGTAGCAGGTCTCTGCTTCTCATCCCAGGGCAATTTTTCCTTCAGCCCCTCATGAATGACTCTCCTCCACCTTCGGACCTTCCGGCCTCCCTTTGTGCTTACAGAGTGAAGCTTTACCTCCTGGGGCCTTTTTTTTCTTTTTTGGTCCCGCCATTGTTCCTTCTCTTTCCAGGGCTACATTCTAACCCTGTGGGTAAAGCCTCTTCCATTTCCCACCTGCCTGGCTGTGTGGAGAATTCAGCCCAAGTCGAGGGTTTAGGTTTGAGAAGGTCAGGACCATGTACTTAGAACTGTGGTCTGACCATCAGGCCCACTGATAATAAAGAAGGCAGTTTATGATGCACATGAACTGTTACTTTGCCTTTTTCATCAGTCGGTTTAGAGCTGAGGGTGACAGGACCCACAGAGACCTCCAGCTTTAATTCAGCTGATTATCTTAGAGATTGGACATCTTTTTTATGTTTATTGGAGTGTTGTCTGTAAATTGTAACTTACCCACTTTTCTATTGTGACACTAGAGTTCAAAGAATGATTTTTAAAGCTGTTTCTATAATGCCACACATAGCCTATAAAAAATTGAGATATATAAAACATGTGAGTTTCAGGTGTACAACATAGTGATTCTACATTTGTTATATATTTTGAAATGATCACCACAGTAGGTCAAGTCGATACTCATCATCACATAGTTACATTTTTTTCTTGTAGTGGGAACTTTTTTTTTTTAAAGAGGAAGTGGGGAGGGGCAAAGGGAGAGGGAGAGAGAGAATCTTAAGCAGGTTCCATGCCCAGTGTAGAGCCTGACATGGGGCTTGATATCATAACCCTGAGATGCTGACCTGAGCCAAAATCAAGAGTCAGGGGCATCTGGGTGTCTCAGTCAGTTCAGCACCCGCCTCTTGGTTTCACCTTGGATCATGATCTCGGGGTTGTGGGATTGAGCGCTGTATGGGGCTCCACGCTCAGCGGGAGGTCTGCTTGGGATTCTCCTCCTCCTCCTCCCACTCCCTCTGTTGTCGTTGGTTGGGGGCGTCCCCCCCCCCCCCCCCGCTGCCAGCTCACATGCATGCCTGCACACACACACTCTCTCTCAAATAAATAAATAAAATCTTGTTGTTTTTTTTTAAAAACAAAATCAAGAGTCAGATGCTTACCCGACTAAGCCACCCAGGCGCCCCTGTAATGGGAACTTTTAAGATCTCTCATAGTAACTTTCAAATATATAATTCAGTATTATTATTAACTATAGTCACAATGCTGTACATTACATTTCCTTTTTTTTAAGATTTTGTTTATTTATTTGAGAGAGAGAGCACAATCAGGGGGAGCAGCAGAGGCAGAAGCAGAAGCAGGCTCCATGCTGAGCAGGGAGCCTGGCATAGGGCTCAATCCCAGGACCTTGAGATCATGACCTGAGCCAAAGGCAGACACTTAACGGACTGAGCCACCCAGGTGCCCCTGTACGTTACATTTCATGACTTATTTTATAACTTGAAGTCTGTACCTTTTGACCCCCTTCACCCATTTTGTCCACCTTCCATCGTAGGGTTTTATTACTATTCTGTGTATTTGATTCCCCTTTTACTAGGGCTCAGCTCTTTTTCTACCTTTTTTGTCACACCTTTCTGTATTGTTCCAGTTCCTCTGTGGCCACAACTTTGTGAACTCTTAGATTCTATCTCATTAAATTATTTTAGGATTATTTTTTCTCTTTGAATAGATTTAAGTATTCCAGGAGCAAGGAGTTTTGACTTCTACTTTATATCTTTTTTTTTTAAGATTTTATTTATTTATTTGACAGAGAAAGCACAAGTGGGGGAAGGGGCAGAAGGAGAGGGAGAAGCAGGCTCCCCGCTGAGCAAGGATCCCGACGCAGGACTCAGTCCCAGGACCCTGGG